AAACTGAGATGATGGAAGATTGGAGCCATCTGAGGCTTCCTGCTGTTTCTGGATTTGCATTGGAGGCCCCGGGAATGGCATGTAAGGCCACCGTGCTCGAACAGGCATCTCCTGAGAAGAAGACTGACCGCACCATAAAGAAAAAAATGAGTTCCATAAATTCCACATTTTAAGCATTGTTCGAAATCATAATGATGGGGTCAAGTACCTGGAAAGGGGATGGGTCAAACATGGCAAGAGGAGAAGGCATAGGGAGGTGCTGAAGAGACGCAGGCACAATGTTACATTGCATGGAGGCCACTATTGGATTATTAACATCACCATCTCCTCCAACCGAAGCTGAAGACACTATGGGATTGTGTTTCCAATCTGGTTGCTTCCCAGATGGGATGTACGTTGTGCCCATGAAACTCAACCCTCCAAACTGTCCAACAGGTGCAAAGTGGTTATAAACAAACATGTGAGGAGGGCCTTGAACGCCAGGAATAGCACCGGGTGGGGCTAGGAAAGGACCAGTGAAGCCAGCTGGAGGAGCGTAGAAGGAATCTACTCCCGAATGACCCTGCTGCTGCCAGGTCGTAGGTGGACCAGAAACTGTTCCTGGACCTTTCTGGGACTGCGATTGGTTTGGTCCCGAGTCATTGTGCGGGCCAAAAGCAAAGATGGGTCCTCTTAGCATGGGGTTCACATCATAGAAAGGGAAATGAGGAGGGCCTGGAGGAAAGTGAGTGATCATTTGGTTTGAGTTGTGTGGACTTGGCAATGGTGGCCACAGAGAGATTGGGGTGTCCACTGAGAGATCTGCTGGGAGAGAAACAATGAGCGATTCTTCAGCCTTTGATAGACTAGGCTGCCCACCAACAGTGCCTACCAAAGCGAGAGAAATGATATCAGACAACAAATAACAATTTGGGAATATGCGTAAACCCGACAGAAAGCAAATATTACCACTTGCTGCTCCATTATCTAACTCTGTTCCTCTGTAAATTTTGTTTTCAACAGGTAATACTGAGGCAGATCCCAAGGCATTCCCACTGGTTTCATCATTAGTTATGGCTGCAACAGCAATCGCTGAAGCAGCAGCTTCTGCTTCTGCTTCACAAATCTCCATGCCAGAGGATGATGGATTTCGATGCTTATTATCCTTTTCAAAATATAATGAGCTGTCGTTCTCTGTACGACCATCACAGGGAGGGATAACAGTGGACGATGTAACTGCACCTGATACAGAAGAAAAGATGCATCATTTAACTGCCAAAAAGAGCCCCTTCAAAGTGACAATCGAGGTGTCTATTGCCATCAGCTCACCAAATTGGATTTTGCCCTCGGCCAGCAATGACTTTATTGGGCTCGTGCCGCTTGGAAAAGTTTTGTTCTTTGGCGCGACAGGCGTTGATGTCGGATTTGGCTCACTAATTCGGTTGGCACCAATCTCAACAGGAACACATGAATGAAGAAGAGATACAGGTTTCATGGCTTCATCAAGCTGACTTTGGGTTAGGGCCATAACCTACAAGACAATACCAAAAAGGTTTCAGATATTTGCATAGGCGTTAAACCGTGACTAGCAGAGCACGAGTCAAAACATTTTTGATTTTTCTCCACGATGGCTTCTTTGTCGCAAAATTTACAGCTTCATGATTTCAGCAAACCATTCTATTAAATTCATATTAAGTAAGAATTTTGCATAAATATTTATTTTTTTTATGCCTGCTTAAATTTTGCAGAAACATGAACCCAACTAAAAAAAAGTGAATGAAACTTTGAACAATATCTACTCACCGGCTGATCGCTAAGTTCGTTACCCCAAGTCCCCACAGAAGTTTGAATATTATCCAGAACCTTATTTTTGTTGCTGAATACGAAATTTGACACTGATATAACTGGGCGAGCAATACTTGCCTGAGTTGACCTGCTAAATGAAATTAGAAGGTAAGAAAACATAAACAGAGGGGAGCTATGCATACACACAAAAAATTTCAATTGATCAGATAGAGGAAAATACTTGCTGCTCCCAGAATTTTCATCAGCATGGGAATCTGGTTTAGGGGCAGGTGTGCCTATTGGGGCTAACGGCTGTCTGTTGGAATCGGGATTAAACTGCTTATTGTTGTTTGCAACTCGGCTAGGAGGTGGGCTTCTGTTGGGCCTGGCTGCAGCCGTACTGTTCTGTACAGTTGAACGGGGTTTTCGGGATGCCTGCGGAATTAAATAAAATTGAACCACATTTAGTGACAACTACCAAAGACTAGATAACAAATTTACAAGTAGAGCACTAGAGTTTTAGATAACATCAGAACCTTGGATGCCTGAGACTTTTCCTTGATTTCTTTTTCTCTCTGTTCACGGCGATCATTAAGCATTTGCCTTTTTGATCTTACCTCAATAAAATCATCATCATCACTTGGAGCTTCAATGCCATGTTGCTCAAAGACACGTACGATTCCACTCTGCATAGGTGCATCACTTTCTTTTTCAGATATCAGATTTCTTTTAAGGTTTGCCTGTCCAGAATTTGGAACGAGTTGATTCTTCATGAAGGCATCTTTGCCAGGTCTACTCTCAAATGGACCCCCAGTACTGGTTTTCTGCATAGCATTTAAACCAGCCACTGAGCTATCTGAAGCTTGTTTCTGGGACTTGTTGGACACAACATACTTTCTACTCCCGTTTTTTGTGGAATTTTGTGCCCTTCCATGGGCATTTCGATTATCCTCAGAAGATGGCCAGTTTGATTCCCGAACTCTAAATTCAACCCTCTGACGCCGATATCTTCTATAACCACTAGAATCTGCCCGATAAACCTCAGCAGTACCTGATGAGCGCAAGCCAGAATTTCTAACTGCAGTTGTGTCAGGTTGGACATGAGATCCTGATTGTCTTTCAGCTAAATTTGATTTTCCATAACTCATTTTTCGAGAAGGTAATTCCGACTTGCGAGACAACTCTCCCTGCTTTTGAAGTGACACAGGAGCCTCAACGTTCACTCTCGCTGGAGATGTAGTAGCATTCTTCAATGTGCCCCCATCAGAAACATCTGTTGGTCTCCTAAGAACACTGAGCTGAGGGTTTGCTCCAGAGGTTGCAGCATTTCTAGCAAGCAGATTAACTGAATTTCCTTGACCAAGCTGAACAGTCGTCAAGGATCCAGGATTCTGATTCAAAGCATAGGTTGGTAAAGCATTCACCTGGACAACTGAATGAGGTGGCGGTGGCAGCACCCCTTGGGATATTGGGGATGTATATCGTAGTTGACCAAACTGAATGATAGGAGACTGAGGCTGTTGGATATGGGTAACCGAGGAGCCAAATTGGGGATGAAGAGGAAGAGGCATTTGGATGGAACCAATCTGTATGGCAGGGTAAGGAGAAGGTATCAGCGAACGACCAGAAAACAAACCAAACTGAAACTTAACAGGCTCTTCCATCTGTGCTGAAGTAGAAGATACATGAGGAACAGCTGTCTGAAGAGATGATGCATGCAGACCAATGCTGTGAGGTGGTACAACAGGGTGAGTAGAAACGGTTGAGTTACTTGTGGAGTCTACTTTATTGCCCAACTCAAATGACTGCCGGCCATTATTTGGCTGAATTGTCAAGTTCTGCATTGTGGTTTCAGTATCCTGGAAGCTCCTAGATGCATTATGCATGGTCACTGGATCAGATATTCCAACAAGTTGGGCGGCTTGTTCACCAAGGCTTGTCTCAATAGAAGGTCTTTCACCATCTAAAGAATCAACAGTATGCTGAGGAAGTGAAAATGTTGCTTCGGAGTTCTGTTGACATTTTTCAAAGTCATCGCTGGGTATTTCAACCTCCACTCCTTCATTAAAGCCTAAGACTAGGTTAGAGTCTTTATCCTCGAGATGCATCTCCTCTAACTCTTGGGAAAGATCTATGTTCTCATCAACCCCATGTATTTTATCCTCCTCCTGATACC